CAGTACCGTCTAAGGTGTCGACAGAAGAGGAGATGGACGGAGAATACAACAGACATACAACTGAAATTTGTTCTGCTTAATTAAAGGTTGTAGGAAGAAAGTGTAATGATTGTTAAAAATCAAAATTTTTTGGTCAACAGTGATCATTATTATTACTGTTACTTTATAGTCACTTTCAATAGTGTACTTAATAAATTTTCAACGCTACTCATTTTTGGTATTATTTGCAATAAGAAAAGGCGTTAAATTTCATTGAGAGTATAAAAATATGTTCTATTTTAAAATTACGCCAAAACGATAGTTGTATATCAGTTGTATAACAAATTTATATCCCTCGAAATGCATCAATAAATATATTAATGAATTTTCAATTTTTTTCTCTTCTATTTTTATGGTTTCGACCAAGATAAAAGTTTGGAATAGCAGTTTTATTATTTCCGGCTTAGCAGTTTCAGCATACATATTCAACAATCAATGGTGAATTGCTTGTCCCCTCTTTTTTTACTGCCTGCTTAAAAAAAAAAAAAAAAACTTGATCAAAACAGAGAAAAAAAAAAATCAACTTTTGATTACTATTCTCTGACTTAATTTTTATGCAATAATCAACGGAACAGTTAAGCATCTAAATATTTGTTTGGGATTTTGATTTTAAATTTTACTATAAAACAAAAACAAAAAAAAAAAGGATGTTATTAGCTTTGTGGTTGGTAACAGTTGTTGCTGTTGTTATTATAATTATTACCATTATCATTATTACTGCCGTCATCACTGTCATCGTTGTAACTTACGACTGTTGTTTCAGTTGTTAAAGCTGTTCTATAAAATATGTCTTTTTTTATTTTTTTTTCTACAGGATTTTGCACAAAAACGGCTTCTCGCAACAGGATTTAGAAGTGATACGGCCCATTGTACACAGTAACTGCATTCATGGTTTAGTTGCAATCCTACGAGCGATGTTTCAGCTGCACATCGAATTTGCGGATGCCGAACGAGTGGTAAAAAGAATTTGTTGTTTATGTTAAATTACTAAATCAAAAAAAAAAAAAAAAACAAATTTGGAATAAATGTTTTTTTTTTTGTCTGATACAAGCAGAGTAATAGTATCTGCTGCTGATTTAGTCGATTTGTTGTAGCACGATAGTCAGTTAGTTTTTTCGACTGTTCATGCAAACAAGGAGGAACTAACCAATGAATTATCTATAGCAATGCAGCGATTATGGGCTGATCAAGGTGTCCAAGACTGTTACCTACGTTCTAACGAGTATCAAGTAGACGA